TACAGACCATTAATTCATACTGTAGTTAGAAGGTCAAATAACTGATACTTTTTCAAAGAGTAGACCATTTGTAGTGTAGCGATAGTTAGAAAGTCAACTAGAGTAGAAAGGAGAGTCAGGGAAAGTAGTGGGAGCAGGAAGAAGCCAATCCCAGAAAAATTCAAGTGCTAAGCTCTCTTGCAGGGCTCCCTGGCAAAGGGATAGATTGGGGGAACATGTGAATGTCTATACAGCTTCTGGGAAATGATATGGACAGGAAAGCCAGTTGAAGAATGAATTTCTATGGTTTTCAGGATTGTGGGATTTCACATGATTATCAATAGTTAAGAGGCAAGAAGGGAAGCCCTGAAGGCCAGAGAACATGTGTACATCTGGATCATGTGTGTATATAATGACCATTATCTAATGTCAATTTACATTAGAAATTCCACAATATGCCATACACCAAGCTGCCTTGCAATATTCTGCATATCTGCAGGTTCTGATGTGCTGGATGCGTAGCCTCCTGCCTGTAAGGTTGCCCAGCTCCTAGTGGTGTTCCCCACTGAGATCCAGGACAGCCACCCAGAGGCCTCTCTTGGTAATTTTACTCGTTGACACAGAGAGCTTTTGTTTGTTCGTTAATTAATACTATAGGCAAATTATGTGTCTATTTTATGTAAATGTTATTTAAATCCCAATCAACTTATTTGTGCCGAAGTTCTTCCATGCTAGAGGATGGGGATCCATTTTAGGGATATAGTGCAATTTGCTAAGTCAATCGTTTTTAACTTAGGAAAAATGAGAGTTTTCTAGCTTTGAAAATAGCTTCCCAGGGGTTATCTGCTAGTTGCCCACAAGAATTGTAACCAGGCTTTAGCCTTCATTGAAACTTAGCTGGTGAGTAAGTAGGAATATGTATATACTGAGTGATCAGAAGACAGTCCCTCTTAAATCCCCTTTCCTCCTTCTAATAATAGTGGAAAGACTGGACAGCATGAAAAAAGAACAATGCATTAGGGTATTACTTCTTTAATACCCTTATTTTCTTTTCCATGATATAATTGATTATATTCCTTTTACTAACAGCATTAAAACTGCAAACTTGACTTTAGGAGACCTGGGTTCTATTCCTCTATTCCTTATGCTGCCATTGGCCAGCTGACTTAGAATAATATACTCAGGAGTCCCTTCCATCTCTGATAGTCCATGAACTATGTCCAGTATCTTATCAGAAACCTCACAAAAATTTGGACTTACAGGCTAAGTGACTTGCTTAAGGACACATAGCTAAGAAGTGAGACACTCAGGAGATGCTATAGCCAAGGTCTTGGACAATCGCTCCAGGACTCTTCTCATGGTGCCGTAACCCTATAGGGAGCACATCCTGCACTGTGTACTATAACTTCTCATCCTTAGTGAAAGGACTTGCTGTTTTTCATGCAAAGACATGGTGTGCAAAGGTGGCTACAGATGGCTTCTTTTATTGATTCAACATGTATTTATTAAAAAAATAGACATTGGATATTTATTATGATTTGGGTATCATTGGTCAGGCTCATAGCTTGGTGAGATGGACAGAAAAACCAAGTGTGAGAAGGGCTGTGATAAGGGGAAGCACAGGCTGCTGGAAATGCTGGATTTCTGGCCATCTCTCTTAGGGGATGCCAAAGGCTGGGAGATTTGTCCACAGCTTTGGTGTGGGTTCTACAAATGGGAAGCACAGAGGAGGGCAGATCCAAGGATCTCTTTGTGACCCATGACTACTACAGGAGATGTCATTTAGGCTGAATTCAAGAGGGTCCCCCCAACATATCCATGTACCTAGTTGTTCCTCAAGTAAACATTAGTCCTGACATGCAAAGTGTCTTCTTGGATCTCTGAGGGATAAAAACGCCTCATTTTCCAGAGCCAGTGTATCAGTCAAGATAGGCTAGGTTGTGCTTGGTAACAAATAACCCCCACATCTCAGTGGCTGAATCCAACAGAAGTTTATCTCATGTGGATCGACCAAGCATTATGCTTACTGTAGTCATTCAGGGACTGAAACTGATAGATGCTCCATCTCCACATCTTCTTCCACCATTCTCAGGCAGGAAAATGGGATATGGTAACACATCCTTTCTTAAAGACTTCTATCTATAAGTCATATACCACACATGTACTCACATTTCATTGGTAAAGCAAGTCACATGGTCATGTCTAACTTTTATAGAATCAGGAAAATCTGATTCTACCTTGTACTAGGAAAGAGAGGAAAACGGAAATATTTGGGAATATCATCCAAACTAACGGTGTTTTAAGAGTGTCTAGCAGAGTTCTTTTATTTTCAGATTTTACATGAGCCTCTGAGTTCCTGGAGACTAAGGACTGTGCCTTTTATGTCTCCGTATTCCAAGGGCCTAATACAATATTGTTACGGAATAGACTCATTAGATACCTGTCAAGTGAATTAGTGAGTGGAAGGTCAAAGACTCTTTCCTAAAAGAAAAATCATTCCCATTGGTATTGCCTTTCATATTTTTAAATTAAGCTTTAGGGCCTAGGCTGCATCCCTATTTGCTCTTCAATATGATTAGAAAGACACCCTGCAGGCCTGCCCAGCCCTGGCAGGAGGCACTAACTCAGGTAACTATATTTCAAGCCTCAGGGATGAATTTTGGGAATTAACAGCCAGTGCACCCCCTTGTGTACGAGACTAAGGGAGATGCCTGGGGAAAGGTGGGCAAGCAACCAAGCAACTTCCAAATGTGAGAGATGATTATTAGAATTATCAGAGCATGGCCTCAGAAGGCCGGGAGAGACCTGACAGCCTTCCCTAGATCCTGCTGCCAGGCAGTGGCGAAATATGCTGAGATCAGAGCTCTGGCTCTGTTTGAGTAGACACCCTTAGAAAAACTCCTAGAACGGGATCCTGTTTTCCAAGGTAGTAATAATGTCAATGCCAAGTTTCCAAGCCTGGAGTAAAGGCCACAAAATCAAATAATATAGCTATGAATTTAGAAGATACCTAAGTCACTGGATGACTGCTAGAGCATCGCAGCCACAGAAGTTACCAAAACAAGATGGGTAAGAAGCAGGCTGTAATCTGATATGCTACTCATTTATCACTGCCTTTCATGTGCCAACATCTGTCAGGGGTCTCTGTGTTTGTTGTGCTGCTATAGACAAAAAGATTAGTTCATAACCATGGGTGTATACACAACCAGACGATCAAAAGCTTGTGACTTGACTCAGTGCTGTGTACAGAGTGTGAATTTGAAGGTGAAACCAAAATAGAAATGTGTTCCTTTGATGGTGGTGGGTGAGCGGGGTCCATTTACACAGAAAACAAAATGCATGGGCTTTTCGGAGAGGAATTTGGGACCACCCCAGTGGATAAAATGTGGGGTCATTTATGGTCATCCTTTGCAGCTACCAGGATCTGCAGACTTCACAAGTGTAATCAGCTTCTGTATTTGTACATAGGACCACACCGGGCTCTTCTCAGAAGCTGGCCAGCTTTGGCATATGTGTCTGAAGTATGCTGGAGTTAAGTGGTGTGGTAAGAGCAGCAAGGTGGTGCACAGAGAAATAAACTGTGAGTAGTGAAAGGACTTTTGCTTTTCCTTCCCCTCATTTCCCCTCCCCCGTTCCCATCATTTTCCCCCTCCCCTCCCCCCTCCTTCCCACTCAAGAGTGCTGGGACCCTGCAACCCGAGGCAGTGGCCTAGGTCCTCAGGGTGGTGCCCCCAGACCTTCCTCCTGGGCCATTTGGGCAGACTCTTGAGTGGTTGTTCTTCGCTATTCCTGATGCTCAAGGTGTGATGATATGAATTTGACATTACACCTTTGGAGAGCAGCAGCCTGTAACTGAGAGGTCACCTACAAAATCCTATCTAATAGTATAAAAGCAATATTACCTTCTACCTTTATGAGCCTTCAGAGTCTTTGAAAATAATGAGAGCTTCAATTTCTTCTGGAGACAAAGGATTATTTAGTTAAAATGACCTGCTTTGAATGAGCCCTTGGGGATAAAGAGACTCTCACCCCACACTTAATTCATAATCTTATGAATTTGACACAGGAATTCCTTCTTCATTTTTTTTTCTGAAAAGAGACAGTTAGTAAAGGTTTTAGGCTTTGCCCACCATATATAGTCTCTGTGCACATTTATTTCCCTCCCCCACTTCCTCTCCTTCTTCTTCTTCCCATCTGTTAAAGATGTGAGAACCATTTTTAGCTCAAGGACCATACAGAAACAGGCCTTGGGCTGGTAGGCCAATAGGCCTTATTTTGCTGCCATACACTTTAGAGAATAAAGTGGAAAATGCTATCTGGCATTAAATAAAGGACTAGGGCACTTGTCAAAGATTAAGACAAGTGGGACTACAGTAAAATTGTGACTCTGGACTGGGTCAGATGCCCATTTATGTAGGTCAAGGCGATTTGAGAGCACCTGGCAACTCAACAGTCCTTCTCCATCAATCTGACAGGAAGGACATGAAATTCTACCAGAGATATGTTCCTGCAGGTCAAGGTTTACACTGCAGGACTTCCCAGCTAAAAGTGAAGTAGCTTGGGAAAATTAGGACTCATTCCTCCAGTGGTGTTCCCAGAAGGAAAAGTGAGTTATAAAGGAGTAACATGCAAGACAAGCTGAGATGCTACGTTAGTCCGTGTTTTTTGTCATTGTGACCAAATGACCTGATAAGAAAAATGCAGAATAGAAAAACTTTATTTCAGCTCACAGTTTCAGAGGGTCAGTCCATGGTCAGCTAACTCCTGAGCTCTGGGCCCTAGATTAGGTGGAACATCATAGTAGAAGACATAGTAGAGGGAAGCAGCTCAGAACATGAGCCAGGGAGCCGAGATAGAGCTCCACTCACCAGGGACAAAATATAAACCCCCAAAATACATCTCCAGTGACCCACCTCCTTCAGCCACACCCTACCTGCCTGTGGTTACCACTCAGTTAATTCATTAATTAACTCAGTTAATTCACTGATTAGATGAAGGCTCTCATGACCTAATCATCTTACCTCTGAACATGCTTGTATTTTTTCACATGTGAGATTTTGGCAGACATTGCATATCCAACCCGTAACATATGCCTTCTAGACAAGAATAAAAAAATGATGAGTATCTCTGGTTTGGGGAGGAGAAACTGAGAAAATAAACTAATCACAATTGCTACCACCACATTCAAGTTTGGAATTCAGTGTATGGTTAAAAAGATCCAGATAGGCGGGGAAAGGGGAAATTCTGGGGGATGATATTGGCCAAATTATGTTGTTATATTGTGTGCATGTAAGAATAAGTAACAATGAATCCCACCATTATGTACAATTGTGATGCAACAATGAAAAAATACCCAAATAAATTTGAAATTAATGAGTATATATCCCTGCTTCCCAGGAGTGGCCTACACAGGCTATAAGCCTGTCAGAGGAGACTCATGGCAAGTGAGGAGCCATGGACAACAGGAGAAATGGTAGAATCAGTGCTGAACTGACTGGATGTGGCATGGTAGCCCTTTGGCTGGTATAATTTGTGTGTGACATGCAGGGGAACTACCAGTAGTTTTTATAAAGCTCCTAAAATGGGGACAGAGGGTATTGCTGATAGAGGTAGGTGAGGAACCCAAAGGAAGAATGTATGAGTTTCCTCGGGCTGCTGTAACAAAGTGCTACAAACTGGATGGTTTTAAATAATAGAAAAGTATTCGTTCACAGATCTGGAGGTTGCAAGTTCAAAATCAGGTTGTCAGCAGGGCTGTGATCCCTCTGAGATTCTAGGTAGAATCCTCCCTGGTATCTCCCTAACTTTTCCTGGTGGTGGTTGATCCTTGGCATTCTCTAGCTGTATCATATCACTCTCTGTCTCTGTCATCAAATGGCATTCTCCCTGGGCCTCTCCGTTTTAAAATGACATGTTCCTTTTCTTATAAGGACACTCCTAAGACTACATAGTATCTTGTTTATATTTGTTAAGATTCTACTTCCAAATAAGGTCACATTCACAGGTAGTAGGAGCTGGGATGTCAACATATCTTTTGGGGATACACTGTTCAACCCTGAACTGAGGGTAACCGCTACAAGGTACAAAAAGACTCTTCATCAAAGGGTAGGTCATCCAAACTGATGATGCAGTCAGGTGACGGAGGAACTGCATGTTCAGTAGGAGACACAGAAAATGACCAGTCAATAAAGGGCTTACAGCAGCTTCTGTTGGACCAAGAGAAAAGAATATAGAGTACCTTATCTGTTGGCTCCAGTGATACCTCCAGCAAGAACCAGATGACGCTGTCAGCTAAATGTGTCCCACTTCCTGTGATTAATGGCACCACAAACTTCTAAATATTTGGGACCTTAGATCTTCTCTCATCCTTGGGAAAAGAGAAGGAGAAAAGCAAAAAGAAGGAAATACTGACCATCAGATAATTAAAAGGAATGAAATTAAACTGAAAGAGACTTTTAAACCAGAGGATGCTAAATTACTGTCAGTTGGTAAATTTAAATTCCTCCACCCTCTCCCTCCCCACCTCCATCATCAGGAATAGAGTCTGCAAAGCAAAAAATAAAGCTCTCTCCATTTACATCCACCCCCATCTGAATCATACTTCGATCTCCCTCTATATATTAAACAAATATTTATTGCCAACATGTGCCAGACGTTGCTCTCACTGGGGACACTCTGGTGAACAAGCCAAAAAAATGACCTGTGCCCTCATGAAGACAATAGTCTTCCCTAGTCCTGGACTGTCACTGTAGAAGCAGTGGGTGGTGCCCAGCTGTATTACATGGGCCTCTGAGTGACCCAACACCTCTGCCTTCTTTCCACCACCACTCAGCATTTTCTCCCTGCCTTCTTAGCACAAGTAAGTAAAAAATGCAGGTCTCATGAGGTTATTTTGACCACAGCCTGTTGGCCACCAAATGAGTGTTTGATTTTCTCGTGTGTGTGTTCACTTAGCATGCTCTAAAGACAGCTTCCTCCTGTCACTCTAACCACCCTCCTTATGTAGTACCAGATTTTTGAGTGCTATTATAACTACTTAGGTAACACCAATGGATTTTTCAGATCCTCGACTCTAGCTTCTAAATATCTCTCCTATACATATCCTTCTGGTCATTCCCATGGGTGCTGCTGCTTGCACTGGTCCCTTTGTCTCAGAATTCCCCTTGCTAAAATCCATCATCTATGCTGGGAATGCTGTTTCTAAAAGTACAAATCTGATTGTGCTCCTCTTTTCAAAAAAATTTAATGTCCCTCTCTTGCCTACAGGGTAAAATCCCAACTTCTCATTGTTAGCTGATCTCACAGGGACTCTACCCTAGACATGTTGAATTCTTGCAACTCTCTAATTATATCAAGCTGCTTTGAGTCCTCTGAGCTCTGTGCTTGGCTTACCTTGCTCTGCTGTGGCCTGGACATTCCTATTCATGCTTCAAGTCTCCCTTGATGTCAAGGTGCTGCATTTTTGCTAAGAACACCTCTCTCAAGGTTCCCATGGCAACTTAGGTTTTCAGAGAAATCATACTGAATAGTCATTGTTTGTTAGTGTATATCTCCCATGTGACACCTATTCCTTCATTTATTCCTTCAATTAATATTCATTGAGCACCTACCGTGTGCTATGCATTGAAAATAACAGTGCTAACCTTTAAGGAGCTGATATTCTAATGGAGATGCATAATACCTTTAAAATGTAGGACAGACAGTCGACATTTTATGTCAGGAATGGGGTCTGCTATAGTCCGAATGTTTTTGTCCTCCTAATTCGGCTGAAAATCTGCTGAAACCTAATTCATAAAAAAAGAAGAGTATCAAGAGGTGGGGTCTTTGAGAAGTTGATTAGGTCACCAGGGTAGAGATCTCATGAATGGGATTAGTGTTCTGATAAAAGAGCCCAAGGGGGCTTTCTTGCCCTCTCCTCTCTGTGAGGACACGGCTAGAAGCATCAGCTATGAAACAGATAAAGCCACACCATTAGCTGCATTGCTTTCCAGCCTCCGGAACTATAAGAAATGAAACTTCTGTTGTTTGTGATTTATCTCCTCTAAGGTATTTTGTTAGAGCAGGCCAAGTGGACTAATGCTTAGCACATGCAAATAGAGGCTCCTCAATAATACTCGTGAATGAATGAGTGAGTGAATAAAGGGAGGAGTGTGTGAGGCAGAATCTTTCATCGACTATGCAAGTGTACAGAGAAACCCTTCTTGGATATTTATTTTTGGTTCACCTGAAATTCTCTTCTGTCCTCACAATCCCCTTCCATCTTCTCCAGTAGAACTTACATTCCTAAGAAGACATCTTACTAGGTTTTCCTGACTTCTCCTTCCCTTGGGTCTCCTTCTCTCATGATTGTCCTTTCTTCTTGTGACATTCACTGTCTGGGAGAGTTCTGATTCTTCTCCAGACTGAACCAACCATTGGCCTTTCTGGGAGAAAGAGAGGCATCCCCTGTGGCCTTTTCCCCTCCTGTTAGGTCAGGGCTTGATATTCCTCTTATCACATGTAATTACTCCCATGATCCAGGTAGGGCAGAGTCAAACTACTCAGATAACAAAATCTTATTAATTTCTATTTCCCCCAGAGACTCAGAGAAGGCAAAAATGATACATGCAGAAACCCACAATGTCACCCCAGAGAGGGATCTCAGAGGTACATGTAGGTGACAGCAAATAGCCATGTGGGAATTGTCCTAAGAGGCACCAAGACACCACCAGGGTCTGAGATGCCAGACCCAGTGGTCTGTGTGAGCCCTCCCTTTCTACAGTCTCACAGACTTCTCTGCAGACCCCAGAGCCCCACCCCCAGTCTTCCTCCTCTATTTTAGACCTGCCTTGAGCCCTCCCATTGGTTTTCTTTTCCTACTCTTCTGTCAACAGCCCTTCTTCTGTGGCAACATCTACTCTGAGATAAAAATTCATGTTTGCTGATAATATTCTTAACTGAGCTCTGTCGCCCACCATTCACTGAATGTTAAATTCACTTATCACTGCCCCGACGCTGTGCTTTCCTGTGGGGTCCCAGTTGTTGTAGTCACCCTTACTGTGGAGATTATATGTTGAGATAGGGACACAATATAATAGATTGGTCCCCTTGGATGGGCCCATGCCTTTTCTCAAGACAGACGAGGCTGAGAATG